TGGAATAAGTGCCATTCATAAACAGGCAATAGGACAATCCGTGCTATCACTTAATTAGGAACGAAAAAGCTATTTTTTTTTTACAAAATTTGGGAAGAATCATCCGTTAATGAAAAATCTCATAAATTTATGAGGAGCAATCAATCAAAGAGTTCAATTTGATCAACAATCAGGCTCCATAACTGATATACTACATGAATATACCTCAAAAAATAGAGAAAAATCAACCAAATCACTAAACAGGATAAGACAGCTTAAAAAATTAACCTTACTTTTGATAAAGAAATGCATAAAAACAATAATAATAGAACCAAAATTCTTAAGAAATGAATTAATCTTTCCTAAAAAATTCCTACCTGCCTTCTAATAAGATAATTAATTCCGAAAGCCAAGTCACTGATCGGCCATTTACCGAGAGTCTCCGAATACGTGAACCCCAGAGTCTCCAAAAGCGTAGAGATCCTCTCGATCCATGTTACAGGCGCTTGAGCTGGACGCTGAGCCAGCCGCTTCTTCACAGATCTACCCTTCGATCTCGAGTACTCACCGCCGACGAAATCTTCCTCTGCTAGGGTCGATGACATCCGCCAGCTCAGCACGTAGTACAGAAGCACCACTGTCCCCGTTGTCGTTGCCATCCGCCGGCTCAGCACGTAGTACAGAAGCACCACCGTCCCCGTCGCCATTGTCGCCGCTGTCGCCATCAGATCAAAATACAATTACACCGATCACTACAAATACATATTTCGAAATGGTGACAGCTGATAATAATTGCAAAGGGCGAAATTGGAACCCGCCAATTAGAATCTACAGTACAACATGACTTTCTTCTGCAGCACATCTAATACACAGTAAAAAAATAAAAAACCAAAAAAATATAAAACGGCTCTTCCGCACGCGGCGGATCTGGTCAATGAATCCATTCCTTGCGCGAACAACTGTAGTCCTGGTTGGAGATTAAAAAATTGCAAATAAAAGCCAAATCACAACTACAAAATTGGACAAAAAGCAGAGATCTTGCAACCTAAGTCAAAATTTTGTAAAAAATAAGACACAAAAAAGCTCTACACACAGACGGAGAGAAAAAATGAGAGATTTTGAAAATGAGATAACACTGCGCCACAAAGTTTGGTCAGGAATTTTACCATGTCAGTTTTGGGAGACAACCAATAAATGCATAGTTTGAATTTTGAATTTGAAAAAAAAAAAAACAAAAGAGGGAACAATGTTGCAGCATATTGGGAGCCATCTCCGTGCAAAATGTGCGCGCGGAAACGCCATGTTCGTCGCGAAATTATTATTAATTTT